AATTACAAAGTAATAAATAAATTTATAAAAGCAATAAATCATCAACTGAAAGGGATGTCAGGGGGGATTTTCGTTATTTAGGCTTACCTCAGGGGGGTTTTGGTAATTTGCCCTTTATTTTTTACATATTTAACAGAAGGATATAATAGACATTTCACGTTTTCGGTTAAAAAAATTCGGTCAACCGTTAGTCAAGGGGGGTTTTCGTAATTACGAGAACATGGGGGAGATTTTCGTTATTTAGGCTTACCTCAGGGGGTTTTGGTAATTTGCCCTAATAAAAAAGAAAAAGAAATTCTTATGTATATTACAAATAATATTTTATTTCTTTATTTTAGCAAGTGTATGAGAGGGAAACAAAAGATGTCTAAATTACTCGAGGATTTGACTAATATTCGCCCAATTTGATTAATTTAGTAATAATAATAATATCACATTTGGTTATAATCTTAATCTTATTAATTCAAATAAATTCTATAATTAAACATGATATTGTTAAAAACTCAATTGATTTGCACGTAACCTTTTTACTGTTTTGCTCTTTTTCTTTGTCGGCTTTCATCGGCCCCCGACCCCTCCCGCAAAAAAATGATTATTAGTTATGGGTCCCATTACCTTAACCTTCCCTCACGCGGTGTAACCACCTCCTAAAGTTCTTGTTCTATCACGCGCCACCTCATAAAAAAGACACTAAGGCGGTGGTTGCAAAATGTATTTTAAAACAAATTACTGGTTTTTTATTTTCCCATTTAGTCTTTGTATTGTGTGTTCGCAATTGCAACGCTTGCATATTGGCTCAAGGGATGAAAAGGACATGTGGTGGAATTTCGTCCTGGCATTAGCAATTTTGCTCTAGTTACAGAACCTGGTATTTGTAAAGCTAGGGCAAAAGTGTCAACTCATAGGCTTGCCAAACTTCTATGTAGCAAAATTACACTATACCCCGTGCCTCTCACGCGCCACCGCGTTGCACTAAACAAGACACCGTCTCTCTCACCCACATATTCCCTTATAATATCTCTTTCTCTCTCACACACAAAAGCGCACTCGCCTCTGTTGTATTTCCTCCGGTACCACGCACTACAGTGCACACGCAAAAAACGGTTTATTTAAGAAATCTTTTTTTTTTGCTTTTTATTTTCTCTCACTGGAACACTCCTCTTTCGATTTTCTCTCTCTAAACTGCAATTTAAATAGCCGGCTTTCATTCATTCATATCTCTCCACCTTTTGCCTCTTCTCAACTTCTAGAGAGAGAGAGAGAGAGAACAGTATCAAATTCTAATCAGTTACCCCTTTCATCATATACAAACATCTATAGATACAGTGTTTTGCTCAATTATTTCCGTATTTCAACAAAATAAACTAGAACTAAAATATTCCTTACTTCTTCACCATTCTTCCGCACTCGTTTTCCAGCTTGCGCATGCATTTTCGCAGTCTGTGTATGCATATATTATATATATAGGTGCGTATTGTAGAAATTTTGGTAGATTGTAATTTATTGATGTTGAACCTCAATTTGACTATTGATCATTCGGCACCGACCGTCGATCGAGTTGAAAACGGCGTCGGAGAAGCATCTTATAATATCGGGAGATCA